AAAATGCAAAAAGAACCATGTATATCATGCCCCATTTTATGCAGGATGCAATATCATAAATTCTTTTCCAAACAATTAATTGATTTTGGGTGCACTATTCAATTCAAGAAATGAACTCGTAGAGAAATGAAATTAAATAAATTTTGATTTTTTGCATTTTGTATTCAGCACATCCTAGCATGTTCAAGAGGTAGTAGAAATGTTAATAGAAGTGAGGCATGCAAGTGAAAAGAAACTCAATTGTTGTTTTTTACAATTTGTATTGAGAAAGCAATGTGCTGCGGGGTATCAAAATAACATAGAAAGAATAGCAAAACTGAAGTAAATCCAATTTCAAGTATGGCCATTCAGGAGGGCTTTGAAGCATTGACACAAGGTAGAAAGTAGCTATAGCAACCAATACTAAGCACACATAGAACCATGTAAGGAGCCAGAATAGGGAAAACACAAGACAAACAATTAAGTAAATAGGCATATGTATCCAATATAATTATCCACCATTGAGTCAATATACAGTCACATATTCAAATAAAATTGAAATCATACCAAAAATTCTTTATAATAGTGCTTCTATTTAAAGTAAATAAATTCAAGTATTTGCGCTCACTGGTAAAAATGTTACAATCTCAAAGAAGGTTATCAAAGTGGGATTAAGAGGGTTCTTATTGGGTTGTCTATTGTGTATAATGTAATAGAACTGGCAACACTTAAGTCTTTGAAACCTTAAAGGAAGTCATCAAATCACCTCAAAACTTCACTTAAACACAAGTTTTTTGACTTTTTCAGAAACAAATTAAGAATTCATGTAATGGGTATGAGTAGGTTTCCTCATGTAAATATTGTGTTGAGAATTTTTCTATGTAATGGAAGAGATTTGTCATGGTATAACACCTGCAAGTGACCACAATACAGTATCAATGGGCTTCAATAGAGGAATGTTCTCATTGAAAAATGCCAAATCAAGTGACACATCAAGTGCAAGAGGACATGAATATCCGGTACGTTCTCAAAACAACCAAAAACATACATGAACTCCAGGGAATGCTACTGAAGAATTCCTATATTATGTGATCTAAAATACAAATCACTAGTACAAATAAACCAAAAAAGCATTCACTGATCTTAAACATTTTCTAGATTCCTCAGACAATAGCATAAGAGAGATGCAATCCTTTTCACAAAAGATATCGTTCATTTTTGTAAAGAGTTAAAAGGAAGACGTCATTGACCATTGACTTGTGTTACAATTTACAAATTTTTATGAAATTCCGACAAACCCATTCCCAATGAGGTAATTAGTTGAAGGTTGCGTGCTACAATCATGTGCCTCACAAGGGATGAATATTTAACATTGATGCAGGGTTTGCATGTCTGATATTGACACCACCTGATTTGCCATGATTTATAATCAATTACCAATTGCTATCATTAGATACATGTTTGAGAATAGATAAGTGCCGCACATGTATATTTTTGCCATGAATAATTTATCAGAAAAAGTTCTAATCAAAGGTATAACACAAATCCAGCCCCAACTGGGTTATATGATCAAGTAGGCCAATGATAAACCTGTCTTCAATGAGTACAGTCAGGGGAAAGGAAGAGATCCAGCTCTAGGTTCATCCAAAGTTTGCAAACAAAATTACTCTGAAATATGATTTTGGATGATGCAAAAGCTTTGCTGTAGATGTCTGCGAGACTAAACAGGGATCTGAATGCCTTCAAGATGCTGTTCTACATCCATCCCACTGTGCTTATGACCAAAACATAACTGATACATCAGTCAGTACGCTGTTCATCACTTGCCTCTCGTTACCATGACAACCAAAGAAATGGTGAATATTTTACAGTTTTCTTAACACAACTGTGAGATATTCAATCTAATTTCAACTGGGATGGAAGTTGCATTGTGCAGCAAACACCCACTGTTTGTAATTGAAACAACACCTAAATCAGAAAAAATGTCACTTCGTTCAAATTATTTAGATGAAAGCTTTCAGAGATAAATGACAAATAGAATAGAATGAAATAGAAATAATGATGTTTCATTCATATCACTAATTTCGTTAATTACAGTATCATTATTACAAGTATCTCTAAAATATCATGTTGCATGTCCCACCAGTTTATTTTCGGCAACCATCATCAAGTAAATATGGCATACAGCTAAGTTTAAAACAATTTTCTTCAAAACATGGCAAATTGATGAGTGTCTATAAGAGCATTTTGTGACTTATCTAGTCTTGATCATCGTATCTCTTGTTTACAATGTAAACTGGTGGTTAATATATCCAGATAAGGGGCGTCTAATCACATATAGCCAACCTAACACTTGAACAAATTTAAAATAAACCTAGGTCTTGAAATGACCAATATGCATTATTAACTGAGACAACTATGCTGAAGATTTGTCTATGAAATGAGAGTGCTCAATATAAGATGACAAAAATGCAGGATCGACAAAATTGCCATCTAAAAATCCAGTATGCAAATGTTGAAAAAAAACTATTGAACCCCGATTGGTACTTCAGTGTTTTTAAGGCAATGTAAATTCTATTATAAAAACAAAAATTCCTTTGAAAATAACATGGGCTGATATGGATTTATATTGTGCCAAATGTGCTCGCTTCATACTTCTCTACCACATTGATGTATTTTCTTAGCCACATTTTCAATAATGATCTGGAGTCCAATAAAGTCCTCTATTGTTCGAACAATGCTTTTCACACTCGTTTCAAAAGACTGCAATAGATTTTCTTTAGAACTTTATTTCAATGGGAGACTATATAGCCTCGGCTATTGTTATTTATAAGGAGCTCAAATTCAACCAATAAATCGAACAATAAGCTAGGAGAACTGAGAATCTCAAGAGTTCTGAACTAAATTTGAGGAAATAAGTTTGAACCACATCACCTGTGCACTTGTGAACGCAAAACTGTGTCGAAATGTATTCAACATAGGACTCTTATTAACATTTGTAATCTGTATATGAAATTTAAATAGTGAAACTTTACATTGAAAGAGTCACAGCTTTTAACGATTCATGTCAAGAGTTAGACAAATTATTTCTTTATCATAGGTATCGTTCTAATGATGAAACTAATAAATTATGATATTTCTTAAATGCACCTTCAACCGTTTTATTGACAAGATCACGATGCAGTATAATAATACCACACATGTGTCATAACTTTTAGAACCAATGGTGACACCTCAACCGTTCAAACATGAACATCAAATTTTTATATGATGCTGGCTTACTGATACTCTTCATGAGAAATAATAGAAGAAATAAAGGATAGTTCAACAAATCATCAAAATTTACTGTGTTAAACCCTTAAGTGTTGTTTGAAATGTGGACCATTTGTCTATTGTATAAAAACATAGATGGGAATATGTTTACTGTATTTGTAGGTGTTGGTATAAATGATGCCACACATCCATTCATTACCCTTAGCAAAGATATCTGCAACATTCACAAGCTTGTAAACAATAGTGCACTGGCAGATAAAATCCTCTCCGGCATTATTAGAATGCAGTAACATGTTAACATTCTGTGAAGAATATTGCTAAATATGACATAAGGCCTACATTGTCTATAGAATTTGGTGTAACAGCTTGCTGAGCCAGGAAGGGAATGGATAATTTGTATAAAAACTCCATAAATCACTGTCTATGGTTGCCTAGTAACAACAGGGCCCTACAATTCATTCCAACTCATCGCCCATTTTACAAAACTGCTAAATTAGGAAGCCATGTAAACGACTGACAAATTTTGTTAATGTTCCTAAATGGTGATAAAATATTCCACAACAGGGCCAAACTGCCTGGTTATGGTCTAACAGTATGCATGTTTTATATCTGAACAGTGTTATCCATGGGTTGGCTTTACTGATTTCTCTACTTGGCCAAGATCTATGCATCTGTGGAAAGCAATCAGTGAAGAATGCTGACAAATTTATCAAGTTTCAAAACTGCTATAAAATGTGGTTCTTATCTGAGGATGCTCTTTACTTCAAACAAGGAACAGGTTTACCTTTTTCACACTTTGTTTTACCTTACAGGAGAACTCTCTCACTTACCCCTTCTCACACAAGGAAACCTTACATTCTTCTCTTGACAGTTTTCAGACACATCAACCGCAAAATTCACACTTTTTCAAGATAAAAAGGATGTACAATTTGGATCATACACCATACATATTCCTCAAATGTTAGTGACATTTAAGATGTACAGAAAAGACTTACAGCGTATATGGCAGGGTTTCAACTCTTAAAGATTCTGATGAGTGTTAATAACAAATGATGCTGTCTGTTACCCTTCTCTTCTGAACCCTTTCTTTGGTTAACAGAAATATTACCCTGTATATTCACCTCAACAGAACACATGGCATTACATCTTACATAACAGGATTCACCAAGTTGCCCAATACAAATGGAAAAATCAGAAAATGACCTCTGGGCCCTGTGGTCCATATAGAAAAGGATGTATGGTCTCTTTGATCAGCCCAGCATACATCTGATAGAGATTTATTCTCAGTCCAAATAAACACATGTTGTGGGCACATGGACCCAAGTTGGCTCATTAGACTTTGATGTCTGCAGACTTCTACCATACAACCACCCTGGGTATAGATTGAGCAGAAGTGGAAGTAACTTTTACTTTGAAAAGCTGAATGAATTCAGTATTATAGTCCTGCTTGAGCCAAATCCTTATACCCACACAAAAGTATAACTTTATTCCCTAAATTCAGCTCGTTTTGGGCAAATATAGCAAAACATGAGATTTGAAGCAAGACTATGTGAATGTCCAAATACTCTGTATATAAGTGAAATACCAATTTCAATCAAGATATAGTAACACAATCATCTTTTAAACATTCACAGATTCATTCCTCACCTCAACCTCACTCACCCAACCTTCACATTCAAATAAACATAATTCAGATCTTTGAGGTGAATGTTTGGTCCAGATCAGTTGAAATACGATTGAATACTTACATAGTTTCCAGTTTGGTGAGACCAACAAATGCATTACTTGGGATGAAGCTGATGTCATTTCCTTGTAGATATCTAAAAGAACAAAACATATATCAAATCAGACAAATTTGAATGTTGAATATGCCACTGAAATACATGAATGGCCATGTATACTTATAAACAAATATAAAACTGTAGTGTTGTACATATACAAATCTATAATGTTAACTGGACAGGATGATGCATATTTGTTATAATATGATTCAGATTAATGATCTTGGAAGTGTCTTACTAAAATAAAACAAAAGAATGGTGAGATTTGGAGGTTTTGTAAAGTTTGAGTTTTGGAGGGGATTTGAAGGAAGTATTGAGAACCTGGAGAGCACCTGTAAAAACATCCCTTACCATGTACCCATTGCCCTACAAACACACCCAACCACTAATCCCAAGCTGTATTTATCAAGCACTTTTGACAAGAGCTTATGAGTGGCATTGAAATTGCTGAGCATGATTTATTTCTAACCATTCCTTACACCTTCAAAGTTGAACTTTTTGACAAGAAATGTTGAGACCAGAATTTTCACACTTAGCATTTAGAAAATAACGTTTGTACTGGAATCTCGTCTCTAAATATTGTAAATTTCTACTTATACTGCAAGATAGAAAGAACAGACACTAACAGTAAAACCAATAACATTATTCATATCCCAGATAAACTATATCCTAATTTCCAAAATGATTCACTAGGTACTACATCCATCAACAATTTTAATAGCTAATAAGCACTTGAAATTTCTCTTGTTTTTAAAATAATATTAAACAGTGGAATTTAGTTGGATGGTACATTAATCTGAACAAACTGACATAGGTAAGTAGTCCCAAGGTAAGGTTAGTCATACCTGTATATCTCAACACCTGATTGTACAGGTGTAAGCTTGTTATCAAGGTAAACCAGGACACACTGTGACACTAACCCATCTTTATTCTTTTTAATCAATTTAGCGTGATATAAACAGGATAAACCCCTAGCTAATAGGTCTCAGATCCCCAGAGTGGGCATAGGGTATAAGTTACACATAAAACAATGTTATTAATGTAATTATGATTCCATAATTGTTATATGACATGATAGGTACATATTAATCACCAGGTGCCAGTTTAAGGTGCTAGCTTTTCTTATAATAACATTAATTAGCAGTATTGTTTTACAGACTTCTGAAATATTACACGATCCAAATCACAATAATAGATACGGAATAGCTTCATTTCTAATCAGCCGCGAAAATGAAATTAGAGAAACAATTGCATCACTTCGGTTCTCCATAAGGGGCCCGAGGGCATAAGAAAGGGCTTTACCAATATCAGGTGTTATATTACCATTATTACAATCATTATTTTATTCATTGCTTATTAGTCATACTTTTAGCATAGGCTATAACAAAAAAACATTGTGACTGAGTTCTATACATTTTGAGAGGATATATCCAGACTTATGGATTAATGGTAAAATGGAATATAAGAGTAGAGTTGGTTGAAAATATTCAATATGGATGTTTTATCTTACGAAACAATGGACATACCCACTGGGTGTTAGAAATCACAATTCTAAAAACAATTGTAACACTTGTGCCATTCTGCTTGAGTTGCTTGTAAAAAACCTATGGAGGAACCCCTGTTATGAATTAACCAGAAAGCCAAGAAAGGGACTGAGAAAATAGGCCAATAATGACCTTAATAGAAAACATCATAGGTGTACACTAATTGAAGCTAGTTAAGGAAGGATGTTTGAGCTTTTTCCTTTCCTTTCAAATTCACTTTGAGGCATATTGAAGTTTGTCATGAAAGTTTGTAAAATAAATGTTATATTTTGGCTTCAAAATAACTACGTAAGAAAGGAAGTTGATAAGCGTAAATTATGCAATACCCAGCCAAGGTGATAGGTACAGCTAATAGCAATGGAGGCTAGTTAGCCATAGAGTTTGAGTGATTCTATGACTTCTCATCTATATGCTGAGCTAGTGAAGAGACAATTAGCTCCATTAAGACACTAAAAATACCCACATACCATTCATTAACACATGTACATCATTTGAATAAGTACACCTACAGTTCATATTGTAAGTGCACCAACTTAACACAAACCTAAGTAAAGTAAAATGTATTTTCAAAACTTAGAAACATACCATTGAGATATGACATTGTGATATATACTAGATATTTTAATATTAGATTGAAAGATCCTGGTGTAATATCTCGCAGAGTCATTAGTATGTTTCATTATGTGAACATATAGGTATGCCTGATTACAATGTTTTCTTTCTAACCAACGAATGCAAATAAAGGCTCAGGGAGATTTGAAAAGCCAAAACTATGAAAAGAGTCCCTTTCATTTACTAGAAGTGTTTGAATATATTTGCTTGCGACTGAAAATCAAACAGTGTACCATAGAGCTGCAATTACGGGAAAACTGGACTACTGGGTCATATTGATTCAAGTTAGAATTTGCTCATTGTTGCAAACATTTCTCTGTAAGTTCAGTAATATTCGATCAAAGCTATGAAATTAGGTAATATGTATTATGTGTTATATTCTTAATTCTTAAATTTTCAATGATGTTACCCATATAAACAAAATACCTAGGACAAATGTGTCTGTTTCATATTTGTATTGTTGTGGCATGTTTTAATTACTAATGAAACTTGTAGCCCAGTATTTTTCAATACAACATGATTCAATTAAAATCTCAAAAGTATAGAAAATAGAATTTTCAACAGTATTCAGGTTATGATAAAGGTATAGAATTACAGTATAAACCCAATGACTCTATGCCAAAGAAAATTTCACGGCTTTGTACCTCCAAAAGCAATTTAACTCTGAAAACACCATGGCTGAATAATACCTCCTATTCAGAGATTTTATAGGCCAATTGCAGTTGAAACTTTATCAAAATATACCAGGCCAAACTTAATTTGATATTAATATTTACTTCAAAAAGCATTTTCTCAACATCTGCATGAAGTTTATAGTCATAATTTCTACAGCTTTTTTATGGCATGTTGGGAACTCTAAGTTTCTAAATGCCAATGTGTGAACTTTGTTTCATTTCCATAAAATATATTTTAATTATTTACATCTTTTTTGCGTCACGTTTATAGATTTTTTATGGATAGACATGAACTTTTAAGAGAATTGCAAAATGACGGTACTGTTTATTCTAAAGTATGTTCTAAATAATAGAATCCAATGAATGGCTGTTTTAAAATGAACTTCAAAATTTATGTTACACCCGACATGAAAATGATTAGTCTTACAATATATAATACAAGATTCTGATCCTAGTTATTTCCCTACTTTTAGAAGAACCCCAACAAACCATACCAATTGAGTCTCAAAAGCATGTAAAGAAATCAAAAATTCATTACAAAATGCATACCGATAACTTTGGATAATACCATGGGATTATGTCCCATGTATGTTCTATTCCCTATAAACTTTACGAAATATGATTGGAATCGAAGAAAAATCATCAATATATTACAGTTACAGTTATATGGTTAACGATGATATGTGTATACACCAGAAATCAAACTGCAAAGCTCTTTTCAGTGATCTGACGATCTAAGCCAAAAATATAGATTGACCCAGGACCCAAGGAATCCATCAACAACACCCTATTGTTTGTATTGTACCATAGTCAAAAATCATTCGATATTTCAACAAAATCAACTCATGCCTTTTTCAAGGTTTGACCTGTTCAACAATTTTGACAGAAAATATTACAATGAATTTTTGAAATAACTGTAGCAATAAATGATATACTGTAGCAAAATGTTACAATAAAGGATAACACTGTAACAATTTCCAAAGAATATTATCTGTCAAAAAAGTTACAATTATCATAAAAAATCAATACATTTTGTACGTACACACTAAAATTGAAATGAATCTAACATGAAAAGTATGTTGAACTATTCCATTCATTTATATGCATACATTACAGGTCAAGTTTGTAGGCCAATTTAACAGCTATGTAAGGAACCCATTTGAGCATAAAGTAATCAAATTTTGACAAAAACTATGAACTTCTCGTCCGTTTTTCAGCGGTATTTCGTGCATTTTTCCGTGAAATACTTACAAAACATCAAGAGGATACTATCCTTGCATAACTAAAATACTCTAAATTTGGACGAAAGAGTATAAATCGGGAGAAAATAGACCAATTTTAGAGTGCACTTTATTTGTACAGAAAGAAAACTTACAAATCTGTGGCCCAGTTCGGTATATCGGCTGGTATCGCTTGAAGCTCCTTTTTGCCTTTGTTACTACAGTCCACAGCGTTCCCCAGACAGGAACAGACATCAGGACACTTCATATTTTCTCCTGAAACCCCTTCAAGAGACCAGCCCGATATCAAAACAAAAGCAAGAAATATCCATTTTCGGGCGGCCATCTTGGTTTCGAGGGGTCAAAGCCCCGATGAACTCTCAGTTTCAATATCTCCTCTAAAAGTGACTTTTATCGTCGTATAATCCACGTTGGTAGCATTGTTCCTGTAGTTGAGTGTCTTATGTATCCGCTTTTACTCGTAACAGCTACATAAATGAAGAAATACTCCCTAAAATTTTCGATAGAACTTCACTACACAAAATCTCCACTGGAAATGCGATACTAGGATCCCACGTTTTGATGAATACCATTCAGGCCAAGAAAATACAGAGCGCTGATTGGCTGATACAGGTCACGTGGTATTTATACAAACAGAAAGCTTTAGAAGCCAGCAAATCACACCTGGGCTTCATACACAGTATCACTTCAATAAAATCCCAAATCCTTTGAAAATATCACACACTTCATTTCAATTTGAATCATCTTTTGTATAAGTTACCATGTCAGGAATTGGTAAACATTACCAATCAGTGAATTAAAAGTAACCAGTTCTTTCTTTGACATTTCAACTGTCGATAAAATATAAAGTATAATTTCAACCAATCAATTGTAGCACTGAGATTGATAAAAGAATCTTATAAAATGGATAATTGATTGGCAAGAGCTGTAATTGCGTAGCATGTCGTGCAATGTAAATCTCCCAATATCCATTTGAGATTAGAATATTTTCACAATAATCAGGTTTTCCAATTTCCCTTTTTATTTGCTGACCTCTGATACGTGTATTTTCAATTAACTTGAAAATGTTAATTAGAAGTGATGCATATTATTACAAGTTGTATTTATAATGTGCTATAATCCAGAGCATACAATTTGAATATACATATCTTGGTATTGTTTATTTAGTATTCCTTACACTCAATAGGTGGCATTAGTCTCTAGGCTTTAATTTTAATTCTATCATAGGAGACATGTGTCAGTAAAACAAAAACCAATGACAACCTAGCGATTTTCCTTTTTGGTGAAAAACAGTTACTAATTATAAATTACCATTTGTTTAATTGCATTGTATTATAGTTGTGCAATATCGGTTACGTTACTTTTACTGCATCATACTGGACTTTCACTGTGACAATCTAACATGATAATATGCATTTTAACTGCAATGTAGCACATTTACTAAGTCAAATATAGCATTGGCTTAGTTGTACTTTACTGCACTGTTTGAATGACTATATTGCAACATTTGAACTGTTTTGAGTTGAACTACATTGCATCATATGAAAGTAAATTACATTGTAGGCTATGTGTTGGTCAGATAATCTTCAGTTGACCTGCATTGGATTGGTTGATTTGCATTGCATTAGTTGTTCTGTATTGCATGAGTAAAATTGCCTTGCATTATTACACTTGCATTGTATCAGCTGATTTGCATTTAAACTTGAGTAACAATTGCACTACAAGGTGTGACAATTCGACTATTAGACGTGACAATTCTACTACAAGGTGTGACAATTGTACTGCAAGGTGTGACAATTGTACTGCAGGTATCACAGCTCTACTGTAGGGTGTGACAATAGTACCAAAAGGCATGCAAACTGGGTTACAAAATGTTGTAGTGGTACTGCAAGGTGTGACGATGCTACTGCAAGGTGTGACAATTGTACTGCAAGGTGTCACAACTCTACTGTAGGGTGTGACAATAATACCACAAGGCATGCAAACTGGGCTACAATATGTCATAATCCTACTGCAAGGTGTGACAATGCTACTGCAAGGTGTGACAATGCTACTGCAAGGTGTAACCCCACAAGGTATGACAAATGTAACATTCTTTGTCGTCACAGATTTCTCCATCAATATATTATGTAAACTTTTAAAATTGTTCCTCATAAATAACACATAAATATGAGAGCTATTCCAAATGGATGATTGAACATGACGTATAGTATTATAAATAAGGCCACAATTAGCAGCTACCAAATGTTAGGCATCAAAATACCCAGCACATGTGGCTCGGAACATTTTTGGGCAATGTTTAACTCATTTCATTTGTTGATTCAGGTTGTGGGTATAAATAATGTCATTTCAACTTTCATGTGTTCTCTATATTTCCAACTTGAAAGCTATCATGTACAGTGAATGATTAATGGAAGGATTTTTTTACATTTCAGCCTTGTAGCCAGGATTTACCAAGGGGGTTCACTTTATAAAAATTCCCCAAAAAATGGCCAAAATCACTTGAAAAGTGCCCAGAATAGTGAAAAACTGCACGATTTTGAAAAAATCTCCCCCCCCCCCAGCTGCGGGCCTACATTTTAACAAATATGTTTCCTTCATTGCATTTTCTTGGCTATTGTAAATGATAGTTGCAATGTTTAATGTTTTTAGGTGTGGTTGTGAATGGAATTACTAGAATTACTTAGAACTTTATCCCATATTTTCAAATGAAATGGAAACCAAATGTACTGAGTTATTAATATCTCAAATTCAAGTGTTCTTTGGTATTTATGAGTTTTCTATGTGAGATCAAAGATTTGAAGATTTGAAAGCTGATATCCAGAAATTCTTCAAGGACGTCTATCTCCCAGAGATATTTGTGCTAGAAATCAAGAACAATACACAGAAAGAAGAAACATGTTGATATCAAATACAAGAATATAGGATTACACAAGTAAATTATACAGTAATTAACATATTCATGATTATTTCCTTTTTGATCTATCAATCTTTATTGTATGAATGACGAATAAATTTTTAAGATCTACATCTTCTCAATAATAGTCTAGGCCATGCCCAGGGCAGCTAAGTACATATACTCTGAATCCCATATGGGATATAAAAAGGGCTATGTACACAAATTCTCAAATTAGAATTTATCTTCAAACAAGTTTGAATGGAGGCAAATTCAAATCTTGTATAAGTCTAAACATAAAATGAAATATCACAATGAAAAATTGAAAATTGCAACAGTTGGATCTATTTAGGTTTAAACCTATGTCAACAGAAAATTGTGGGGAATACAAATAATAGAACGAACCACCTGGACACGCACTCCATTCAGTTATAACTTAGACCCTTCATGTGACAAATTGCCATACTCCAAAATACACATTTACCCATAATATAGCCTTCCAACATCTTTTCTTTTATCAGTTCTACCAATCATAAATTATCATTATTTTCGCATAGGCATCACTGATTTCCATAGCAACGTTACCAAGGTGGCTTGAAATGCAGAAATCTATTGAAGCCAAACACCAGATAAACTGGAATGAATGTCCCGTTAAATCTTTCTTTTCAGTTTCTTTTGAAAATCGCACAATTGGAAATGATTCTTTGTAGTTTTTCACCAACCCATGCTCTGGTAAATAGATTCATTATACAAAAAATCTCATCCTCAAAATATAGACTTAATAACTGTATACTTTGATAACAGTAAATTGAGTTTATTATTGCACTTAAAAATTCTACAGAAAAATTTGTTGCACTTGCGAATGTACCAAATTCTACAGAAAAATTTGTTGCACAAGCATTTGTAACATTTTTTGTATACTGATTGAACACACAGATATGGATCCATAAACACTGAAACAGTAAAACAATATATATTTTGCAAAAAATAATACCAGTGAAATTAAACTGGTTTACAGTATAATTATCATAATTTTTTTTCAGCTATATTTTGCAGAAGACAGCCATAGTAAAAGAAATACAAAAGTTGAAATTAATATTTCATTGAGAATAACTTTTCATGAGATATTTGACAAATCAGCCTCGGGGTGTCATTGATGTAAATACAAGAATAAACACCTTTAGCCTGAAATTTTCCACATTTTTAATTTAAACAAAATCATTCAAATCGCTCCATTAGGACCGAACTAAAAATCTTTTCATTGGATTGCAACAATATTTTACATAAGATTTAAAACTAAAATTGGCACTTTCAGCTAAGTCCGTTTTCTTAACATTCACACTTTCTTTGACGACAGGTCTATATCAAATAAACACATCTACATAATAACAGTTTCAATTCTATGGAAAAATTTGTTACGTTGAATCTACACTAAAACTCACTTACAGAAGCCTAAACGTACAAAACTCAAGTATTTGGTTTACATTTACCATAGTGCAGATTGATAGAGGAACAATAGGTTATAATCCAGGGCCGGGTGGAATACACAATGTAATGTCACGCGGTAGTATCTCTTCGGGACGTATCGAAACCACTCCGTCCCGAAAAACCGTTAATTTGAATTTAAAACCTTCCCCAGTGTTTGAAAATCATGGATTGTGAGTCTCACACTTCACCGTTTTTCTTCAAACTTGTTCCGTACAAAGCTTCACAGAAATACCTTTCAGTCGATACATTGTTTTCGTGTACAAAGTACCTCGTTTTAGCGGCGTTTTTGGTCCCCAGCTGCGAGATAAAGCAAATTTTCATAACTTTCAACTGTAAGTCAAGTTATCTCGCCAGTCTTTTACCCATTCTCGCTCATAATTTCAGAATGGACTCCCATTACAACCTTCCATCGCTACGTTTTGATTTTTGGGCATCAAACGCAGCAGTTTCTAAATGATCCACACATCTCTTAAAAATTGACTAATACGTCCCGTCACCTTCCACTACGCCCCGCCGAGTCTATGACTACAAACGTGGAGTTGTATTCTAAAACATTTTGTTCATCGTTGTGTAATTTTACATAGGTTTGCCTTGGTCGATTCTTAACACCAGTCTTAAGTTTGGCATACATACGGAGTATAACTATAACTGATTGCATGAAATTGATAATTTAAATGTTTGTGAAGATGTTGCTTTTTAACTTTAATTATATGTAATTGTCCTGTATTTGATTTTGTGAGGAAACCAAGTGTCTGGTTTGAAACACAATAAAATTTGGAATCTTGTTTTGCAACAATAAATGGTCTAACCATCAATACAGTAGTATGCAGTAGCAGGTTTCGTGTAACTGGTGACAAAGTATACTTTTACATGATACATGATACAATATATCGGAAATGGATGATAAATCTGATGAATTTTTGAAAATCGACATTCCCATGTAAACCCATGAGAATTGATATGTTTGTCGCATGTCATACGACAGAATATCCATCAATCTGAGTACAAGCAAAAAGTACAAGTTAGGTACAGTAGACAGCTGAATTTGCTATCTTTATTTAACAAAAAGTTGATACGTTTCTTCAGGTTCAACAAAGTTATAGGTTAGGGTTGTCCAAATCTGCAAAATTTTCCAAAAATATGTCATCTGATAGATTCTAGTTACAAATTGACTCTTGGTACAAA